ATTAATTTGCTTCAGGTTTTACAGTACTGAACATGTCTTTAACCTCCTAAGACACAAACTCTTGCCTATGTGGATGCCAGGTCCTAGGAGGTTAATACCATTTACCTGCCGATAGGGCCATGTTTCTTTGTTCGCTTTTTCAGGAGAAGCAAAACAGGTGGGTGGATCCTGCATGGCGTGTTGCTCATGAATCTCTTCAGTATTTGCCTTTGCATAAGTTTCATCTTCTTTCTGGAATATCAAGTTGATAACACATTTAGTTTTTTAATGGCACAACTGCTTAAACTATGTGTTTTTAAATGCCAAAATTCTGTATCCAAGTACATCTGTCTGGTTGAGATGAATAGATGAGATGTCAATAATGGAAGAATCACTGTCCTCCTTCGTCTGATGCTCCGATTGTTCTTCTTGTTCTATTGTGGGTTGTTCTTTAAAGACACTGCATAGTAAAATAAAACTTTATCAGTAAAAATGTGGGCTTTATTTCATCCATACGCATTAATGTTCAGGAAGTCTGAGATTCACGTGTCTGGTGGCTCCTCAGTGGAAAAAGCATTCGCTGCCAGATCTGTTGAGACACAAATTAAAAGCTTTTAATGCCTATAAACATTTCAGATTAACCAGAACACTGAGTAATGAAACAAAAGTTTATTACCAGTGAGATGATCCAGCTCCTTCTGTTTGGTCATTATTTGATCATCCCAGGCTTTAATTCGACTCTCGATTTTCTCATTTTCAGCCTGCAGGGCGAGTAACTTTTGAGCAAGAGGACTTTGGTGATAACATTCTTTGAACGACTGCAGTGTCTTCCTGTAGCTTGAAATCCTCTCTTCAAAGACCTCCCTTGTTGGTTTAAAAGTAAAAAACAATTGGGCTTTCTCAATATAATGGCAGAAAATGTTCTTTAATCATAAATAAAAGTGTGAATGGAACCTACAGGTCATTGTTGTAGCTGGCTTTTCTGCTTTCCAGTTCTGTTTTCAGCGCCTGTTTGTACTGAAGAAGCCGCTCGTTGGTCACCTTCATGCTGGAGTTTCATGAGTTACAAAAAGTATTACACAAACACCACAATACAATCCACCTGTTGTGACATTCATATTTAAAATTAGTTTATGATTGACAAGGATCTATCAGAGTTTGGCGTAAGTTTCACTTGCTTATCCCAACATTGTTACATGATCATACGTTTTTGCATTTTCTTTATTCTTCATCACAGCACTCTGCAACACGCTGACTCGTTCTTCAAGTTTCTTGACATTTTCTTGGGTTGTTCCAATGTAGGACTTCTTCTCAGCAATGTCATCTCTGCAGACTGTTGACAAAACCCAATTAGACTTACTGGAAATTGATCAACTGATATCAAATGAGTAGAACTGATGAATAAAGGAAGATGTGTAAAACTATTTGTTAGTGTTTCTAATAAATGTGTAGTGATGTGTTTCTTTCTTTCTTTTATTTATCATCCTAATCCTCTGTGGGCCATGTATGAGTCTTGTGCACTTGTGTCTAAAGACAATACAGTCTAAGCTAAAGAAAACCAAAGCAGGAAACCTTAAACAATAGAGGCAGGACTATGTCTGCATTCAAAGGGAAATGCTTTGCTGAAGTAAAAAAGAATAAAAGATTTATTGATTTTTTTTATGTGTTTTTATTGTTGTTTTGTGATTAATTTAAAATGGACTTTAAGTTAAGCAAAGATAACAAACAAAAAAAAAGAAATTATGAAAGGGGTAGGAATTTTATAAATGACATCAACATATTAGGCTAGACTACCATTGTACACTTAATTTGGACAATTGTAAACGTAGTAATAAAAAGACGTACCTTTAATTTGCTGTTTGAGTTCATTCTTCTTTTGAGACAGTTCCCGAGTTTGTACAGCTACAAAAACAGCAGAAACAGCAGGAAAACATCATTAATTTGTAACTTGTCGGTAGCTAGCTAGCTAATGATGAGACCAAATAAAAAAACAACATAAGGCCAAATAAACAACATTAAAAGAAAAGAGCCTTCGTCAAAATTCATAAAAAATTAACTTACCCAACTGAAAAACGAGTCTGTCGAGATTATTAATTGAACTCTGCTCCTCCTTCATTTTTACACCAGATGTTAGCTTGTTAGCTAACAAACTCGAAATGGCAAAACCCAACACAAAAACTTTTCTTTAAGGAAATAAAAATTATTTGATAAATTTTTAATAACCTATCATATACCCAACAATATGAGTTAAAACTGTTATCTAATTTAAATTAGAAACTATCAAAATACCTTCACAAAACAGGAAAAGGTTAATTAGCTACTAGATTTTGGTTTAGTTTTTTTCATGCGCTGTTGCACTGTAGTTCGACCTCGTGACGTCATTAACATTAAAATTGTAGGAAACGGGGAAAAACGTCCGTTGAAGAAAAAAAAATGCAGCTTTTAAAATTTTCTGAAATTCAGTTCAATTCAGTTTATTTATATATCTCCAAGTCACAACAGAAGTCATCTCAAAGCATTGAACAGAAACATTCATACACATAAAAAGTAAGTTAACACTATTTATCTGACATTTATCTGACAGGTCCCTCTTGTAAATGAGTCCCCGCTAGCCTCAAATAAAATAAATAATAAATGTTGAGTGAATATCTGACGCTTTATTTATCTATAATAAATTATTGTATTTTTAAACATGTAAATGGACTTATGAAACACTTGTTTATTTTACGGTTGTCTATGCATATGCATGAGCTTTCGCACTATCATTTCCGCTCTGGAACGAGGATTGACGTAAATTTAGGGGTTTGCGTAAAGGCGGGGATTAAAGCTATTCTAGAAATGATTTTGCGTAATTTGCGTAATACATCTGTGTAGTTCAAGAACACAACGCTGTGATGCGTGTGTTATTCCTGCGATGTGTCAGATAAATCCGGTTTCTTTCCGCACGGTTCGGATTCTCTAGCCCGCAGATCTTTTCTTTTAAAGGTAATATTTTAATTTTGTGGGGAAGAACGTTCAAGTAGCATTTCATTTTCGCCGGGTGGCGTTTAGCAGACAAAAGAGCGGACATGGGTGGGATTTAAATGGGAGGGGATCAGATGTATGAAGGGTTGCTTTGTCGATTTAACACTTTTCCTATGCCAGTTAATGCATTGATCCACCCGTCTGTGGTCGTTTTAACTCTGTAGAAAGGTTTGGATTATGGGTTTTTATATGTGTTTGCAGCACTTGAACAATCAGTGCTGTCCCTAACCCGAACAAAAATGTAGGCTATCGCGCATTCTTGATGTATTTTTCTTCTATTCATTCAAATTAGTGACATTTCCTGGATGTAATCAGTTTGCAACCAGCGCATGCAGGAAAAAAAAAGATACAATTCTGGACCAAGATAATTGTTAGACAAGATAAAACAAACCAGCTTTTCCCAATTCTCTGCTTTTCTCTTTGTTGGTCTGTTTTTGTGAATGTGCATTACCTTGTAATTTGCTACTTCCTATTTTAGTGAAAGTAGCCTGACAGCCAGAGTTCACTCGTGTTAAAGAGGTCATGGCACAGGTAGAGGAGGCTCAGACAGAAGGAGAAAGCAGCCCCCAGATGGTCTCCTTAAGATCAGACGCATCGGGGAGCCATGCGGACGATGGAGAAGTGGGACCCTCCATGAGGAGGAAGAGGAGGAAGAAGAAAGAGCCACGTCCGGAGTCCATCATCGTGTACCGCTCGGAAGTGGAGCGAGCGCCCGGAGAGGACCAGAGTGGTGAGGACGGAGGAGAGAGGAGCACTGAAGAGGGAGCAAAGTTCCTCTGCACGCCTACAGGTGAAGGTGAGAGAGCTGTCACGTTGTGTTAGAGTTACAAAGACCTGTTTGTCAAAAACTTGTCCATCACATGGTTTCATCTTTCCACAGGAGGAGGCTGGAATCTTCCTCCGGACAGCCGCTACGTGACCCTGACAGGCACCATCACACGTGGAAAAAAGAAAGGTCAGGTGGTAGATATACATGTCACTTTGACAGAGAAGGAGCTGAGGGAGTTGGCCAAGTCAAAAGAGCGTCTCAACGCAGAGTGTGAGGCGGGAGAGGGCTCCAAACGCACCTGCACCTTAGGAGTGTGTCAGGGGCCCCATGTAATCCTATGGAGCATATCGTGCGCTCCTGTGGTTTTCCTCCTCTCCTTCATCACTTCCTTCTACTACGGCACTCTCACCTGGTACAACGTCTTCCTGGTGTACAACGAGGAGCGGACGTTTTGGCACAAGATCACAATTTGTCCCTTCCTCATCATCTTCTACCCTGTGCTCATTATGCCCTTGGCGCTGTCGCTGGCTCTGTACTCCGCCGTGGTGCAGGTGTCCTGGGCCTTCAGTGAGTGGTGGCAGGCCGTGCGAGACCTGGAGAAAGGCTTCTGTGGCTGGGCCTGCGGGAAACTGGGCCTGGAGGACTGTTCCCCCTACAGCATAGTGGAGCTGCTGGACTCGGACACAGTTTCTGGCACTCTGCAGAGCAAGGCCCCCAGCGAATTTGCACAGACGTCATCAGTTTGAACTTAGTAGCAGATTCTGAAATCGCGGCACATATGACAATTTCTTGCAAAGTATAACTCAACAAACACTGCCCAAACTGTCTCTAGACAGTGAACTGTTTCTACAATCAAACGTATTATTGAACTGTGAGCATGATTGGTTGTTATGGATCAGTTTTTATATTTAAGTGTTTTTTGCACAGGTCAGTAAACAGCCATCAGTGGGTACTTTAGCCTCGGCTTGCATGGACATGCTGATGGCGCTGTTAAACAGTCTACTGTAAAACCAAATGACGCTTTATCTGTAAATATCTGCACCTAAGTATTTGTGATAACTGTATCATTTGTGCAATGGAATTTGATTTTATAGTAGCGTTTAATGTCAAGTCATTGTAATCATTCGGCACTTATAGCTGAACTTAGATGGGCTTTTGTTCCACAACCTCTGCTGCAGCTGCCACTTAACTTTGGGAAATTTGGCCTGTTGTGTTATCATCTGCACCACATTGGCTAAAACACTATTCTGCCTTTAAAATGGGCTGTTTGTCTCCATCTATTTCCTACCTTTTAAAATATTTTTACACCTTATGTGAAATGACTAAAAGTGTCCCATCTATTAATCTTGCTTAAAAACATCACATTCATTGTTTTTCTTTACACGCCATATTTTTTTTTCTTCTTACATTTCAGAATCGTTTTAGTCTTAGTTTCACTTTACTGCTCATTCAACACCCCAATGAGTCAGCACAGGAATGGTGCAATGTGTCAAATACAGCAAATGTTTTTAAGGCACTCGGGAAAATTCTGCCTATAATCTAATAAATGGTGCTTATATTTGTAATTACCTGTTTGACCTCTGGGAATATTAGGCTCAGGTCTAGTAGAAACCATTGTGGGTTTTTATTACTTTGCAGACATTTTTGAAAAATACCGTCTCATAAAAATAAATAATCTCTGCTTTGTTTCACATATTTCTAAAATGATTTCAAACACACTAAAACATGAGTCAAGATGGGTCAACAGAGAACATAAATGCATGTTATTTTCTGAACTTTTGAATACCTGGAGGGCACCACAAGGTGGTTTATTTATCCATTTGAAAGCTGTTTTTCACAACTGTTTTATGTGATCTGAACTACTTGTGTTGTTTTCACTGAAATATTATTTTTTGTATTAAAGTACTTCTGGAGATTTCCACACTGTTGTATTTTATATGTTCCCTAAGTGTATTTCTTGAATACTTTGAAAACCTCTGGCACTTTGACATCTAAAACTGACCGATTGGGTTAAAAAGATCTGATCATTAAAAGACATGAGTCAAATGTTGGAGTATGTTTGAGTTTATTTAAGTTTTTATCTGCAACCTTTGCTGGATTTTCAGTTTTATTTTGTAAAGAAAGGACTGCCGTGGTTGAGAATTGAATTTGTATTCCACATTACTTATTGTGAATCTACAGAATGCAAAATAAAATTGCCAAAATATGAAATGAACTGTTTTATTTTGTTTGTCTAGTTTAAGTTTAAACTTAAAAAAAAAAAAAAAAAAAAAGCTTAAAAATGTAAGTCACAAATGCAACTAATTACAGGGAAATAAACAAGTTTGTCACACTGATTTAGTTTAACAAAAGACAAAGTTGTTAATCATTAGAACACATGAAGCAATCTAAAGATACCAAACACACAAATGCATTGACGGTGGTGACCAAAAAATAAAATTGTCCTGTAAAGACGAGAAGTTTGATATTTTGAAGGAATACGACTTACCGTGTATTTATTTGCACTGCATAACATAATCTTGGCTTTCACTGCAATCTTTGAATTATTTTTCATGGAAGTTCTAGCAGAAAAAGTCAAATTTATATTATTTTTACTTCTTTCCTAAGACTAAATTTAAAATCCATTATCAAATTTTGTAGCTGCAGACCAGTGCAAGAAGCACAAAACCTTAGTTTATTTGTAAGATCAAGCTTTAAACTTTATTTTTTGGATGGATTATTTGGCCCAGAGAGGTCCTTTTAGACTGCTTTTGTACTTTAAAATAAAAACTAATCCATTGCTGTACTTTTTTTTTACATGTTCAGGGCAGGAGTGAAGTGAAGATTTTGCGTGATCAGGTACAATGCTCAGAAAACAAAATTTTTCTAAATCAACATTTAATAAATGCTATATCACACTGAACTTGACAACATAAAACATAATAAACTATTAATGCAATGGATCAGGACAAATCAAATTTATTTTTGGCTAAATTAAAAATAAACTTGCTGCTAAATATTGCCAAGTGACTGTAAACCATATTCTGTAGGAATATGAAGTAAATCAATTTAAATAAAACAAAATCAGAATAAATTTAACTGGAAAACAATAAGCATATATTTAATGTGGATAAATATTAAAAACAGTGTAGAAAACACCGTGTTCCAAAAATCTATTAAAATTCTTAAAAATATATATATCAGAAACCAAAACTATGCACTACATATTTGGGAAATGAATACTTTTTTTAGTTTCTTTATACAGTACCACTCAGTGTTTGTTTATTAGGACAAATAAAATAGACCCATAATTTAACAGAGCCACACAATCACTGGAGGGCGTTTGACCTACATCTGAGTCCTGCTTTTCACTTAACTCAGTCAGTCGTCGTAGCGCCATTAAAAACACTTAAATGTTTTGAGTAAGCTAGAGCACATTTTTAAAACAGGTAAATAATTTTTTTTTTTTCTAAATTAAATAGATTCATTTAAAGTTTTTAAAGATGAACGCAGCGCTGCAAAGAGGAACTTTATTTTTGTCCTAGCAGAAGACGATTGTTTCCGTCCGGAGTCATAATAAAGAGACACACAGGCTTTGAAAGAGGGAAAAAGAACGAGAATGGCAGGTTCCAAAGTAAGTAATTTTCTTTTTGTTTATTTTGACTTTTTTGCTCGCGACTTAAACAAGTGATTATACACGAGTTTTGATTTACAAAATAGTTTTTGTTCTTTTAAATTTGCCGTTTTAAAAACAAACGGAAATAGATTTTCGTTCAGAAACCAGGAAGACGTTCAGACATGTTCAGACCAAACCCTGACCTCCCAGTTTTTGTTGTACATGTAGTTATGTGTAGGATAATTTAGTCGTAGGTTGTGATTTTTAATCGGCATGATAAAATATAGTTTATTATAATGGCTGATGTATTTTGTTCCCTTCAGAAACGTTTTATTTATTCAAATTGTGTCCATGATGAACCTGATCTGTTTGTTGTCTGCAGTCAGCTCTGGTGCTGTGCATGGATGTGGGCTTCTCCATGTCCAACTCAGCCCCAGGGGAAGAATCTCCTTTTGATTCTGCAAAAAAAGTCATCCAGAAGTTTGTTCAGCGCCAGGTACTACACTGACACATTGACTAAACAAGACAAAAACATCAACTAATCAGAAAGGTCATTGTCATCAGCAAAAACATTTATTGGACTTTTCTTTTTGTTTTTTCAACAGGTTTTTGCAGAAACTAAGGATGAACTGAGTTTAGTTCTGTTTGGTACAGATTCTACTAAAAACCCTCTGAGCCAAGATGGCCAGTACCAGAACATCACAGTGCACTGTCCCTTCATGGTGCCAGACTTTACGCTTCTGGAGGAGATTGAACACCAGCTCCATCCAGAGAATCAGCAGGGAGACTGTATCCTTTATGTTCAATATGTTTTTCATTTTGAAGGTTCATAGTTATTTATGATTAGATTTAATTAAACAAAATATAGTACAGAAGGAAAGCCTGGTCACTCATCATTATATCTGACTTCAAACAAAATGCATTTTCACAGAGCTTATGTTGTTTAAAAAAAATTTAGACGGTGTGCATTTTCATGGTTTTTATCCAATCCACGTAGAAGATTTTTTTTAAATCAATGATTCAAGCATAAACAGGCACCTAACTCGAACAAAGTTGTTTCTGTATGAGATAGACAAGTTGTCAAACCATCAGCTGTTCAGGATGTTGCAAAGACAAGATTTTTTCCCATCTCTTTGCTTGCATATTAAAAACTGCTAAAGTAAAACAGACAGAAATAAATTATTTTATCACCAATAAGGTGATTTCCAAAGAGCTGTTAGCTGAAAGCATAGCATACAGTTGATAATCAACTGAAGGACGATGATTATTTTTCTTGAGACAGGACACATTTTTGGTGAATGCTACTTTCACAACAGGAAAGTCACAGAATCGCCTCCTGACCTGGGATGCCTGTTTGTGTGGAGTTTGCATGTTCTCTTCGTGCACACCTGAGTTTTCTCCGGGTTTTCCAGTTTCCTTCCACAGCCCAAAAACATGCATGTTAGGCTAACTGGTAACTCCAAATTGTCCCTAGTAGTGAGAGAATGAACTGTTTGTCTCTGTGTCCCTGTGATGGACTTGCGACCTGTCCAGGATGTACTCCGCCTCTCACACAGTGATGGCTGGACATGGGCACCAGTGACTGCCATGACCTGAAAAGGAAGAAGAGGGTAAATATAATGGATGGCTGGTAGATTTTATATGAATAATCAAATTACTGCTAAAAAGGAAACAGTTGAGCTTTCTGCCCAATTGTTTGTGAGTTGACTGCTTTTCTATGTTTTCACATGCCACAAGCTCCTTAATTAACTTTTATCAGGGCTGGATGCTCTTGTCGTTTGCATGGATCTTCTTCAGACCCAAACTCGGTAAGAAACTGCTCGTTTCTTTTTGAAAGCCCCTCCGATTCACAAAAAATTCAAACTCTAATTTGAGTTTATGTATATCAGTGCTCATCGTGCTGATAAGATTATTTGATTGTGCTTTTATTAAAGTGGGAAGAAGTACGATCGTCTGAGCATCATCCTGCTGACGGACTTGAACGCTGCGGCCAGTTCTGACAACCTGGATGTGATCGTTGAAAACCTGAAAAAAGCTGGAATCACCCTGCAGTTTTTGTAGGTTTTAACATATTCTGAATGTCTATCCTAAATGTGTTTGGGTTATAAGTATTTAAATTACAATTTCTGAATTTCTATTGAAATATGCATTATGTAAAAACAAAAAGAACACATTTTTGTGTGTTTACCCAACTATGTAACAGTAAACTTGAGGAAACTTTTCTTCTTCTTTTGGCTTTTCCCTCTTCAGGGGTCGCCACAGTGAGTCGTCCTCCTCCATCTCACTCTGTCCTCTGCATCCTCTGTCCTCACTCCAACTACCTCCATGTCCACTCTAACTGGAAAGTTTTACTACATTCTATTTCTTAATTTATCTATGTTTGACTACTTCTGGATCTCCAGTTTGCCTTTCCCTGTCGAGGATGATGAGGAAGGTCAAGGTGATGGAGACAGAAGAGGACCTGGTGACCCTGGTGCAGGCAAAGGTCTGTCCAGGGAACAGAAAAGTGGTCTGGAGATGGTGAAGCACATCATGCTAAGCCTATATGAGGAGGAGGGCCTGGATGAAATATACACATTCAGGTTGAAATGCTTTATTTCCTATTAATCTTTTCACCCGTAATTCTCACATTTCTGTCTACATTTAGAAGTGATTGATGATTGTGTTGCATGACACAATGTCCATTTGCTCAAATGTAGGAATGCAGTCGAGCAGCTGTGCATGTTTAAACGCATTGAGAGGAGACCCGTGGCTTGGCCCTGTCAGCTGACCATTGGCAGCTCCTTGTCCATCCCTATTGTCGGCTATAAAGCTGTAAGTTCAAGCTGAATTGTATTTAATTATAACTCATACTTTTTACACAGTTTAGATAAAAGTTGGGTTTATTAGAAGCTTAAGATAAGCAGAGGTCAATTGTGGGGAAAATGCAGCATTGTTGTAGATGTAATCTTGTTGATGTGATAAAAATCAGCCACTTCTTGTCTGCAGCGTCGCATATTCTGTATCATTTCATGCATAAATGCCAATGATTGTTCATAAGTATGATACATAAACCTGACCCAGAACTTGTACTTCTCTTCACCAGGTGACTGAGGAGAAACTGAAGAAAACGTGGATTACGGTTGATGCTCAAAGTAAAAAGAAGGACGACGTGAAGAAAGAGACGGTCTACTGCCTGGATGACGACAACGAGACAGAGGTGCAGAGGGAGGACATTATACAAGGTGAGGATGCTGTGTGGAATAAAAGTGCCTGAGCTTGCTTTTTTTAATAACTGTCTATTGTTGTCGCTGTTGTCCATTGTTGTCATCATTCTTTGTTGAGATCAGGTCTCTCTTGTAAATGAGTCCTCGAGGCGCAATGGGATTTACCTGTCTAAATAAAGGTTGAATGAATGAATCTGCTAGTAATCCCTCTTGAATTCTAGTCATATTTTTCTTATTGCAGGTTTTCGTTATGGAAGCGACATTGTTCCTTTCTCCAAAATTGATCAAGAGCAAATGAAGTACAAGCATGATGGGAAGTGCTTCGCTGTACTGGGCTTCACCAAACAGAACATGGTATTGTTCCTTTTTATTGGCACCTGGTATCTAAAACACATACAACTTTAAGACTGATTTACTTTTTTAGTTTGTCTTCATTCATTCTCCATTTTGTAGATACTTCGCCATCTGTTCATGGGATCAAATGTTCTCAAGATATTTCCTGCCCGAGATGATGAGGTGAGCTCCACTGAGCTGGTATTTATTATCTTGTGTTGATTCCAAACTGTTAAACTTTATGTATATACACTTCTGTCCGAGCAGCATGCAGCAGTGGCCCTGTCGGCTCTTATTCGTGCGCTGGATGAACTCAAAATGGTGGCCGTTGTACGATACGCCTATAACCGGTGCAGCAACCCTCAAGTGGGCGCTGCTTTCCCGTTTATCAAGCCGAGCTATGAGGTCGGGTCTTGAACCTTAAAATGCAGTTTTGATCTAGATTCATTGCAGGATTAGAGTACTAACGCTGCTCCTCCCACTCGCTACAGTGTCTGATGTACGTCCAGCTGCCCTTCTTGGAAGACCTCAGACATTATCTGTTCCCGTCGCTGGACAAAAACAAAAAGATCGCTCCATCAGGTACTGTTGTAATGCACTGAAGAAATCTCTGTTCACACCGCAAGTAGCAACTTTATCACTAACTCATAAACCCTCACACCTATTATTTTTAACTCGAGCTTTTCTGCTTCTTCCAAGAGCAGAGAGTGAAATCTGTTTTTGTTACTCACATATGTTTGCATGTAAATTAAACACAGACAACACGTTTGCAGGGCTCCCACAACTCTTAATAGTTGCAATGAAAATAAGGATCCTTCCCAGGCATGTTTCCAATGGGTCTTTTATCAAAAACTCAAAAGAAAATAAAAAGCTATAAATATTCCAACTGTTGTTAATTCAATGTCTTGGTTTCCCGTTTAACCTAATGGGATTTTGATGGATAATGGTTTACAAACCATGTTTAGGTTTTATGATATTGTTCTAAAACAGCACATCTGGTTTAACTTGCTAAGTAGGAAAAAAAATATATATATATATATATATATATATATATATATATATATATATATATATATATAGAAAGAGAAAACCAGTTAGTAAAAGTTCTCTTATCTAAGGAAGCCAGCAGATTGTGTTGAATCTTCACTTTGTTGTGGTCTCCCATCCTGAGTAAGCACAAAGGAGATAGTGGAAAGGAAAACCTCTCTTTTAACAGGAATAAACCTCCAGCAGAACCAGTCTCAGGACAAGCGTCCATCTGCTTTGACAGGCTGGGGTTTGAGAGGAGAGGAATGAGGAACAGACAAACACAGAATGGCAGGTCCAGGTGTACTTTCTATAGGAGGAAAGACAAAAAAAAACATGTTAAGGATAAAAATAATTACAAATACAAACAGATAGAGCAAATAAAGATAGCAGCAGAGTGAGAAGATGTGATTTGTCCTCCAGCAGTCTAAGCATATAGAAGCATAATTAAGGGATATCTCGGGAAACCCACGCTGACCCTAACTATAGGATTTATCAAAGAGAAAGTCTTCAGCCCCGTCTTAAAACTGGACAATGTGTCAGCCTCACAGACAGAAACTGGAAGTTGGTTCCACAAGAGAGGAGCCTGATAACTGAAAGATCTTCCTCCCATTCTGCTTTTGGAAACTCTAGGAACCACAAGTAAGCCTGCAGTCTGAGAGCAAAGTGCTTTGTTAGGAAAATTTGGAACAATAAGATCTGTAATATAAGATGGAGCTAGGTTGTTGAGAGCTTTGTAGGTTAGAAGTAAGATTTTGGATTCAGTTCTTAATTTAACAGGGAGCCAATGGAGAGAATCTAAAACCGGAGAGATATGATGTCTCCTACCAACTCTCCTAAAATCCAAAAATCTACTCAGTAAATTAATGTTTATGTTCTTTAGAGCCGCAGCTGTCAGCCGTAGACAGTCTCATTGACTCCATGATGCTGGTAGGAGAAGATGAAAACCATGACCAAAAGGATTTGTTCAAGCCCCACCATCTTCCCAACCCGCACTTCCAGAGGCACTTCCAGGTACGACATAAGTTATCACAACTATGAAGGGTTGTTAGTTCGTTTTCTGCAGATATTTTACTGAAAACCCAGACTCTACAAGCTGTTTTAGAACAAATACATACAGATTGGATAAAAATACTCGATCATTTATTTATTGTACGACATGTTTCATTGTTTATTTTATGTGATTAAAGAATGTGAGGTTTTACTTTAAATATTTAGTGACAACTTCTTGTGCAGTAATACCTTCAACTAAAGTTGAAAAACTGTCCATCATATCTGAATTTTCAACCATTCATCTACAAAAGACAAACTCTGGGATGTCTGCTTTACTTCAACATTTTTTTTGCTTTTGTCTTTCAAGCCTTTGACTTGGTGATTCTTTGTTCTTCAGGGAAATTACTTCAGTGCTTTGAGTCTTTGTCGGCTGTTTGACCCACTTTCTCTAAAGCTTCAGCTCATCAGACATTTTCTTTATGAACAAGTGGTTTAATTTAGAACGTATTGTTGTATCAATGATGGAGAGAAATCCAGCCCAGATGCAGTAAAACAGACCAGAACTACAAATATATTTTAAGGTGGTGACTTTTCTTTAAACATTCCACTTCTCTGATGAACCATTAAACTGTTTTACATCCTCAACTATCAGCTAAACTCTTTAGTCATGTATGTAAAAAATAAATAAATAGAAGCTGTTAACTTTAAGGCTTTGCAGTCTTTTGCCACTCGTGCTACTGGGTTCTCTGTCTACTTTCAGGGGGAAAATGTCATATTTATGCAAAAAAACATAAAAGAGAAATCTTACAAACATCAAGGAGGTGTACATGAAATGCAATTTTACATTTAGAAGAAATATTTTCAGCGTCTTCAGTGCTGGTTTCACCTTCTCTTCTGTTTTTAGTGTCTGCACCACCGAGCGGTGCACCCAGATTCTCCTCTTCCCGCCATGGAGCCATGGCTGGCGGCTGCTCTCGATCGCCCCGAGGTCATCAAGGAACGCTGCCAAGCTCCGCTGGAGGCTTTAAAGAAGCTGTTTCCTCTCACCGAAGTGGAGAAGAAGAAACGGCTCAAGACGAGCGCTCAGATTTTTGGCAAAGAGTAAGTTTGGATTCAGGAGCGGGCGATGGTTTTTCAACGCCCCGTCCAAGGTCACGTTTTAAAACATGCCAGCGCAGTCGGAAACGCTAAGACAAAATCATATCAGTCATTAAAGGTTTTTTTCAGTGTAACTGGGTGGTATTTTCTGATTATGAAAAATATGTGAACCAAGCTTTATTGTCTTTCGTAGTTCCGAGGAGCCAGATGCTAAAAAAGCGAAGGAAGACGAAGCAGAGGAGTATAACCTGGCAGACATCGCTGAAGGTTCTGTTTCTTCTGTAAGTATCAAGAGAATCTGGCTGGCATAACTACCACGAAGATGGATGCTCCAAATAAAGCAGTCCAATATTTGATTTGACAAGATGGGTCTTGAATAAACACCCGTTTTATTCTCCGACCAGGTGGGGAGCGTTGATCCGGCCCGAGACTTCCGCACTCTGATCAAGCAGAAGAGTCTTCCATTTGGGGAGGGTGAGGTCCAGATTCTTCTCTGTAGAGCTGCCCAGACCCTCCTCTGTGTATTAAACTACAATAACTCACGCTCAGCCCCTGTAATTATGTTTCTCTCTTTGGTTGTGTTGACCCCCGTGTCCTTTCAGTCTGTCAGCAACTGACTCACAGGATTGAGCAGTTGCTTAGCAACAAGAACACACACTACTACATGAAAAGCATCACCTGTATCCAGGCTTTCAGAGAGCAGTCTGTTAAGGTAAGTAAACATTCACTCTCTTCACCGTGATGTGCTGCTTTCTGTTTGACTTCATAGTTCAGCTTATCCTTAAAGATTAGGAGCATCGGCGTCTTGTTTCCTTTCTCGTGACTTGAACCGATTCCAATTATTTTAAAGTATGTTGGCTCCTTAAATGGAATCCGACTGTTTTATGTCTTCCATAATTCAGCAGGGGAATGCTGATCTGTTCAACAGTTACCTTCAGTCCCTGAAAAGGAGCATTCCCAGCAGAGGCCTCGAGGTCTTCTGGGACCTGCTCGTTCAAGGTATGATGAGTCTCTTTATACGGAGCTGCAAGGGTTTTCTGAAATTATTACTCATCTGGGGAATGAAATGAAACTTCTGCATGATCTGGGTGCAAACAGTCTGTTGAAGAGTTCAGTGTGTGACTTTGTATGATGAACAGACGCTGTAACGCTGATCAGCAAGGTTGAGGTTGAAGCGAGCACTGTTTCAAGAGACGAAGCTAATCAGGTGACCTAAATATGTGCTTGTTAAACTGTAAATTCAAAATGATCTGAGTTGTCCTTTATTCTAACTAAAGCCTAAATGTTTTTAGTTTTTAATGGCTGAGGAAAAGAAGGAAGAAGCAGCTGCAGTTCCAGCTGAAGATACGGGAGATGTTGATGACTTGGTATGTGATTGTGCACCTTTTTTTTTTTTCCCTTCAGAAAAAGTATTAGACTTTTTGCCTTTCTTTAAATGTATACTCATGTTTAAAATCATTATTTATGGGTTTTAAGCTACAAATGCGTTGGTTATAAACTCATATATTTGTTTTTGCTCTCCTCTGCGCAGCTGGACATGATGTAAGAAGAGAGGCAGGAAGAATTTGAGGAGTGCGTTCTTTGAACCCACTCAGACCAAACCAGTTCAGCCGTCCATTGTTCTGCTTATGGGAGCTGTGTACTTTGTTGCTGTTAATGGAAACATTCCAAGCATACTGCACAGAGAGGGATTTTAGTAAACGTCACAATTTGAACATGCTCTAAAACACTTGACTGAGCATTACACAAAAATGGTTCAGAGTACCAAAGGCTTTGCGATCAGCTTTAAATGTCAGACTTTTTGTAATTTCATTTTATTTGTAGTGTTGTTTGATATGGAAATCCAAAATAAAGTTGTTTGTGCATCCTATTGGACTGAAAGCAGCACTGCTTATTATGCTAAATCAGTACATTTATGATGAAGTATATATGATTCATAATAAAATTAGAGTGCAATTTGTTTTTTGTGTATGTTTCTGTGGCATATAGTAGAGCACAATGCTGTGATTAATTAAAAACATTTCAGTGCATTCGAGCCATTATAAACCAGTCTGTTTAAAAACAATATTTCCAGTTCTTTTCAACATAGTGAATTTCCCATTAATGAGATCAATGTAGCTCTATGGGTCATTGTTAATTTATTGTAGACGTTAAGACAAGTAGGTGTTGGAGCAACACCAAAAAGGCTAACGTGGTATTCAGCGCCAGTTTTGGCGGGAAAAAATGCTGCACTTTTGCTACATTTAATTTAAATAGAATAGTTATTTATTTGAAAAGGAAGTTTCAGAAAAGTGTAGTAGTTTTTAAATATATAATTAAAACAAAAGCTGTGAGTATTTGTGAGCAGTCATTGGTTAAAGCTAACAGGCTAACTTTAGCTATAGGGCTAATTTCTGAGTCAGGTGTTGTCATTACATGATGGGAGTCATACATGCTAATTGGGGCATGACACATTGGGTAATGCCAAATATCAGCATTTGCATCTATAGATTAATTTCTCTGCTAATTTTTGGCAAGATTTAGAAACTACACGATTAGCAGTTGTGTTCGCTGTGCTGGAGATTTCCATTTGAACATTGCTGACATTTTCTTAATCACACGTGCATCTGCTGTAATGAGGTTGGATTTGTGTAAACTAAACATCTTTTCATTTTCTTTTATCATTATTATTTTATTAACCTTTATTTAACCAAGCTTTGTTGAGCTTATTATTGAGATCACAGATCTCTTCTGCAAGCACGTTTTTGGTCTATGCAAGAAAACTCCACACAGAATTTTCCAGGACATCCTTGTAAAAGAGATTGATGATCTCAATGGATTTCTTCCTGGTAAATAAAGTAATTAAAAAAAAAAAAAAGAATGACCCCAGATCCAAATCGGGGCTTGAACCCACTTTGCCATGCAAGTTTCACAGGGGAATCTAATACAAGTAATAGCAAAATTAGATTAAAAACATTTTGCATTGCAATTGAAATTAATTTTCTATTTTTGTTCTTAAGTAAAAAAGATATTTAGCTCAGCAGAGATTAATATTTAATACAGATGCCATTTACAGTTGCATTGACATCCAGAAAATATTTTAAACAATGCTTGTAAGAATCAAGTTGTTTAGAAAACTTCTGCAAGCTTCTGTTTTCTATCCCAAATACAATGCAGTGTAAAAGTGTGGGTCAGTCTTCATTTTTTGTGTTTAAGAGACCAAACTTTAATTGGTTTGGATCAATAGATGTTCTTAATCTATTCGAAGGTTTTTCTATTGACTTTGGCTAATTATTTTACTTATTTTTAATTACATACCGAACTTTAGAGGATTTCTTTAAAGACATGTTCATTTTGAGTTTTAAATTATTCTGACATAAAAAAGTCCAAAACTCATGAACTTCTGTACTTTTGACTCAAGTAATTTAGCAATTAAAATATTTTAAATAGAATCTTGCATTCTTTTGGTTAAATATATGAAAATACTAAAATAGCAGAAATTTAAAATAATATTAACTACCGACAAGATGGTCTCCAAAGAGGAGCTGTTATGACATACAGTAGATGGGTGGTTGTGGTTTCTGGACCACATGGCGTGGACAAACTAATAAGGAAAAGGCTTGTGACCATCAAAACCTCTTATTTGATGTTTCCTGGGTCCTGACACCAACTTTGAGAAACTCTTAAGTAGATGATCAATGGACAGATGCATCTTTTTGGTTCTGTGTCTGGTAGTCCAATAACATTTTTTCTATTTCTTGAATACAGTTGGTGTGACATGTCCTTGCCTTACGCTTTTCCATTTTCCTAACTTCTTATTTAAACCACACACTGCACAGTATTCTGCCATGGTCTGAAAATGAATGAAAACACAGCAAAATTTCATAAAAAGAACTTTGAAAGACTTTCAGAACACTTGAAAAAGAATTAAAACAAGTTGAAAATATCGCAAAAGTCTTGTTTCTTGAAAGGAAAGTGTAAAAAAAAAAAAAGAAATTGGGTTATTTAAAATTTACACTGAATGTCATTGTGTACACCTCTTTGCAACCTCAAATCTACAGCTGAAGTGGAAAGTTTACAGCTGGCATAGCCATAAAACTCCAATTATCAATATTGGGAAATCCACCATGTTGAATTAAACTTTTATTACAATGCTCACATGACACAGTTAACACACCCACCGGATGAAACGGTTTAACATCCTAGATTGTAACACGTCAGAGAATTTTTGTACTTTGAAAATGGCTTCCTGATCGTCCATTGCTAGTTTTGTTAGGACTTCTTGATCAACGTCACTTCCTGTGGCAATCACTGTGGAAACAATCTGTTCCCTGCGCATCGCACTGACCGCCTCGTCCAGGCTGCTGCTGTTAGTGACTCCGTCCGTGACGAAAACAAACGACACCTCAGCTCCACGCCTCGTCTTGCGAGTGCTTCCTTTACCCAGGAAGTCATTGATGGTGTGGATGATGGCAGGCCCCACCGTTGAAGAAGAATCCATGTAGGTTAAACTTGATAGACCCAGAGCGATGGTCTTAGAATCATGCGTGAGAGGGAAAGCCACTTGATTTTCATTTTCTTTGCCAAACTCTATCAGCGCCAGACGAGCCCACTTTCGATCGCTCTTCCCCTTCGCCATTACCAGTTTGTCTGTCACAGCCTGCACAAAGTTACGGACGTGGTTGAAGTTCTCCGTTCCGAGACGCTCGGAGCCATCTAGAAGAAATACCAGATCTACAGGTCGTCCAACACACGGAGCTACGTCTAGCTCTGAAATGAAAGAACAAATTATTCTCTGAGCTGCACGCCATTTTGGAATTAATCTAAAAACCAAGCCAGGAATAAAACCCACCACTTTGACAGGGGAGGTCTGGACATTTAATCACTGGATCTGGAGGGAAAGTAAACAAACTGCAGGTTAGACCAATCTTGAATTTGACTTATGATGTCATCCTGCTGTAGTAGAACGGTCTTACCAGGACAGAGCACAGTCTCCATCCTCTCAATGAAGTCCTCAGCCACCAAGTCGGTGTATTGCTTCATCTCGGTGATTCTGTTCTTATTGTTGCAAGCTATTGACACAAGGGTCTCACTATCATGTTTCTTATCAAACATGTCACCAACCCCAATGGCATTCACCACCACGTCGGGGTCGTTGCAAAGGTACCTGAGCTTGTTGTCGTCGTCACGAGGGTCAAAGCGGCCGTCGGTGACCACGACGACAGATATCTTGGCGCGGGATCTCTTGCTGTCCCTAATCAGGTTGTCATAGGCAAATTTGAGAGCAGAGGGTGTGAAGGTTCCCCCTGCGATCCACTGCAGGTTCTTCACTGCTGTTTTAAAGGCAGACATGGAGTTTATGTTGGGGTCGTCAAGGCGAATAGCCTCAAAGGTCCCTTCGTGACTGAACTGTACAACTCCAACTCGTGTGCCTGGAAGATACAGACATAGATTAGTTCTGCTTTAAGTGTTTTCTTTTTCTATACCATATAATTATTATGGGCAGGAGATACCAAGTATGTTAGCACAGTGCTACAACACGGCTGCAAAAACCTAGTAAAACTCGAAGTACAGTAAATATATTTAGTGTTACCGAAAGGTGTCCTACAAATGCTGAACAAAAACAAGGTTTATTCAGGTTGAGAACTGGTGAGCTTTCACATTAAAGAGGCCATTTTAAACATAACGTTACACTTCTATAATTACCTGAAGCTTACATTTATAAGAGGTGTACTTGAAAGTTTCCTTCCTTAGATAGAGAACTTTACTAAATGGCTTTTCTGTGTGTGTGAATGTTCCTGTAAAGTGCCCTGAGACAACTTTGTTGTGATTTGGCGCTATATAAATAAACTGAATTGAATTGAATTTACCTTTAAGAAGAACTGCAAACGCCAAATTGGTAATTACGCAAATAATATTTTCTCTTTTAGTGCTTAACGTTTATTTCTAGACAACTGCTTATAAAGATAAAAAAATTTAAAAGGCATAATTTAAGACATGAAACTACCAGGGACATAATCAAGACAAAATGCAAGAATTAGAAATAAAATAAATAAAAAATTAAATGCAGGTTTGGCTGTTTGAACAGACTGTTTAGTCCAAAACTAATCTCCACTACAACAAGACTTTTTTACACCAAGGTTAAAAAATAACCTGATTTGTATAAAGACTTTAAGGTTAACAGAACCAAATGTAGCAAAACTAAAGAAGACCCACATGGCAATTATTTTTGCACCGGATGTCCTTCCTGACACAACCACAGACCACCGAGCTACCACAGCCCTCTGTGTGGAGCAGAGAGCTGCTATAGGGCACCAGGGGGAGCAGAAGGTGGGGGTTAAGGGCCTTGCTCAAGGGCCCAGAGTGGGCAAATGAGAGTGGAGGCAGGTGTGGGGGTTTCACCTTTCCCACCTACATTTTGATGATGTCAGTACTGGGAGTTGACCCAACGATCTTCCGATCACAAGCCTCTCTAACCTCTGCGCCACCACTCACAAACAAAATAATAATTAAGTAAACAAAAATAATTGACAAAATATAAAAATACCCACAGCCTTGGGAACAGTGGGGTGCTGTGAGAATGAGTAAAGGGAGGGAAAAAGTACCGGGCCTAACGGGAACCAAACCTGAATTTATAATCTGACCTGATGTAAAAATATAACTGGATTATAAACTCATAACACTAAAACTACTGGACAAAAAAGAATATCAAAGTGTTGTAAAACCCTGTACATTAAATGAACGTGTACAAAGTGCTGTAACACTAACGTAAATGAGCTTTAGGGTCAAAAATCACTCGCAGGGGACAGACATTCTGCTGATCTCATGCTGCTGCTGATCTCATGCTGCTGCTGATCTCATGCTGCTGTATTCATTCATATCTGCTCACCAAAGACTCATGGTCGGGCTGCTGTTGTTACGCCGTATTGTTGTACATTATTAGTGTTTAGTGTATATCTTAGATCTTTTGGCATATTGTTTGGCGTTTGTTTAGTGTACATCTTAGTTTTAGATCCTTAAGTACTGTTGCTTTTTAGACTTTATATTTTGTTATTTTTGTGTGTAACTGTACATAATTTTGTTCCACCTCATGTGCCACATGTAGTGGAAACGACAATAGAGTTGACTTGGACTTGGAAATCACTCTAATGCTGCTGCAGTTATGTGTTGTACTGGAAAATTCAGATGGCTGATCTTTTCTGACCGTCCTTGTTTCTTGGTCTCTCGAAGGATTTGACTCAGTTTACCAGTTGCCGATGTCGGGTTGGAGGCCATAGATCCCAGTCTGTTGATGGTGTTGATGACAAAGTTCTTTTCCAGGGTGAAGTTGGTCAGCCCGACACTTTCTGAGCTATCGATCACAAACACAATGTCCAGGGCTCCACAGTGCTTTTCACAGTCTGAGGAAGGAAACCAAACAGGAGGTGGATCAGTGTGTCGCAGGATCTCATCTGTCCAGATGTGTTTGAATGATCCGCCTACCACAACAACCGCACGTTTCCCTGATGTACGTCATGACGTCACAGTCCTGCAGGGACATGCACACAGGTTAGATGTGAAACACTTATGGTGGATCGTTTTGTTTTCGAGTTTATTTTACATACAGTGATCCCAGGATCGCCGACCGGTCCTGGACCCCCCTGCACGAACACAAGACAAGGATTGAGCTGTAAGGTTTGGTGTGCAGTCTGCATGCACTGCTGTGTTTACAGCGCAGATGCTTACATCCTCTCCAGCTTCTCCCCGGGGTCCTCGCTCCCCCGGCTCCCCTGGCTGGCCTGGTTCTCCCTGAATGCAAACCATTTTTCACCAGAAGTGACTCATAACTCAGAAAAACAGGTTGTACGTAGAAATGGCTCATTCTTCAGCATAATGTCCTCTGCGTATGTTTGAAAGGACACTGCCATAAGACTTTCACAACAACAAAAAAGTTGTTTTAATTTCTTTCGCTGATGATTTGAGAAGTCATATTTCTCGTGATAAAGGCAACACGCGTCGCAGATTTTGCAAAGTTGTTCTTAAGAGCTGATGATGGTTCTTGAGTTTTCATGATCTCTGCAGCTGTTCTGATAATCGGTGCATATATCTAATATTTTTGCCTCACAGCTACTCGAATGACCTAAAACAGTCCTGCTTATGAAGAGTTATTTTTAGGCTACTTTCTTTTTATAACTGAGGTTTGTAGATTATTCATTTTTAAAGACATACTTCAGAGGTGGAGCTAAAAGGTTGCTGTTAAGCCGTCAAAGTGATCCCGTGGGGATAAATCCTACGATAACGCAGCGAGGAGGTGTCCTAACTTTCAGATCTAATTAAGACAACAACAGACATATGGCAACGGCACAAAATAAAATAAATTAGATATGATGAAATATTGGGTGCAGAGAGAAAAGTTCATTAGTACCCGAGGAGAAAAATCACATGCAACATCACACAATAGTTCATCATCAAAGAGTTGATGAGATTAATGCAAAATTAATCACAAAATCTGACACTCTACAATAGGAGGCTTTTATTTTGTTAATTTAAAGTCCACTTGAAGTTATTAGTACGTAACATGAGCATGACGTTATTTTAAAAAAATATTTTTGCACACACGAGTACTTTTAAGTGCTTCTTGAATGAAACAAGTCATTAAGTGATGGATGCCGAGCCGTCTGCACAGCAAGCGTTTTCAGATAAGGGTTTTCTTCCTGTTTCAGCAGAGCTCCATAAACATCACTCTCCGTATATCTGGACAACATCTCTGCTTCCTTTCAAAACTGCTTTTCTATTTAGGACATGTGGTTGTTATTCTTACCGGTTCTCCTCGAGGTCCTTTCTCTCCAGGCTCTCCTTTCGCGCCACATTCTCCTCTGGTTCCTCTGGGCCCTCTCTTACCTCGATCCCCTACATCTCCCTGAAAAAAAAGAAACAATTAAGTTTGAATGAGCATCCACGATGAGCAGGAAATCTTTTACTTTAAATGGACAACCGTACAGAGGATCCTCGCGGTCCTGGATAGCTGAATCCTGATCTGCCTTTATCGCCCTTTAGAAGAAGAAACAATCAGTGAGTTAAAATTTACACATAAATGTTGATTTATTGTGCCGGACATGGGCACTGACAACCCCCGTGACCCAAAATGGAAGAAGCGGGTAAAAGATAATGGATGGATGGATGTTGATTTATTGGTGCCTCACCTTTGGACCTGGTGGACCAGGATCTCCTCTTGGTCCAGGTTCTCCTAGATTTCCCACAGTGCCCTGAGCAGGATTTAAAAAAAATTGCATAAACTCAAAACACAAATTCCACCAATTACTTATCTTGCATTTCTTGAAGGAATGCACATCTATTGAGAAACGACAAATTTGTAGCTTTTCAGGTCAAACCTTTATAAATATATATATATATATATATATATATATTAAGTACGATTTTATGTTTATACTAAGTGTTGTGAATAAGTCTCAGATAGTACCACACCAATTTTCAACTAAATATCTGTAAAATTGTTTGAATTATAGGCATTGTAATGTTTTTCCGGGATGGTTAGCTGTAGAGGCCATCTTAATTCGGGTTGGCTCCAATAGTTATTAATTCATATAAGTAAACCAAAGGAATATTCTCTGCACGTTTCAATAAAATCAATTCAGTTGTTCTTGAGATATTTTGCTAACAGTTAAACAGCATTGACTACGAATAATTAATTACAAAGTTTAAACAAAGATGTTGTCCTAACTTTTATCACTCAGAGTTGGTGTGGGGATCAGTCTCAGCTACTACCACACAAATATTTGGTTTAATATTGGCAAAACTGGCTGAATTGGAGGCGTTTTAGTGTTTTATGAGGTCATTGAGCTGTGGCAGCCATTTTTAATGCCACTGACTCTAAAAGTTCATCAGCTGCAGATGTTTACCCAATGACAACTTCTTGCAAGTTTTAATAAAATGTGTAGAGTAGTTCTTGAGATATTTTGCTAACAGACATGCACAAACGCAGTTAAAAACATAACTGTCCACCCTCACCTTGCAGCAGCAGCTGATAATGAACACCTGCTGCCGGTGACATCACTAACAACTTACATTTCCTCCATGCGGCCCTGGTTCTCCTGGCTGACCCCTCGGTCCTGGTAGGCCTTGGTCTCCCTGACAGGAACAGAAAAGTTTTTACTGGACGCAGCACCGACTCCAGCCCCCACATGCACATTCACTCAATCTGATGTGAGCTTGCCAAGAAGCTGCGCTGGACGAGTCATTTTACAAAGTCTATAGTTCATCTGGAGAGCCTCTTTCTTTGATAACAGACTCTGTGTATTTTGGCACTTTGTGAAGCTGTAGATTCAGGATTTGTTTGGTCCTACAAGACCCGCTTAGTTCTAATGAAGCTGAGTCAGAATCCACCCACCATGATCTCCTCACCTTCGCTCCCTTAAATCCTTCTTCCCCAGGCTGACCACGGCCTCCTTCTGGTCCTTGTTCTCCCTTGAAAATAAATGAGCTTGTGAGAGTTTGGACCACATTAATAATTATTGCTCAGTGTGAACAAACTAAAGAAGGAGTGGGAGGAAATGAGTGAAGAGTTGTCTTTAAATATAAAATAATATGTAAGAAAACAACATAAGGTGGTTTGTTAAGTGAACAAGGAAAGGTTGGAAAACTTTGTCATTTTAAAAATGATCAGAAAATTCATTCTACAGCCCAAAGAGTCACACTGCTGCTTAAAATCTGCAGGATTTGTTTTAAAAAACTGCTTCAAACCCAAAATTAACAAGACGAAAAAGATGAAACGAAACATTTCTCTAAAACATGAACGTACTTTTACTCCTTTTTGCCCACCAGGTCCTTTTGCCCCTTTTACTCCAGGATCTCCTCTCCTGCCCTGCTCAGATTTACCGAAACAGAAAAACAAAAAGTCTGAACATTTCACAACTTAAGAAGATATATATTTAAAAATGGAAGTGTTATGAAATACCAGGTCGCCGTTGGGTCCAGGTCCACCTTCAGGTCCCTGAAAGAAGAAGAATTTGGTTTAAGGGTCAGCTTTCTGAAAATTATTTATTTTGCAGGAGGTGAAATTAAAACGTACCTGAATTCCCTTTTCTCCTGGTGGCCCTGGATTTCCAGGATTTGCATTCTCACCCTAACAAACAATGATCAGGTCACTGCTGGTGCTTTTAAAGCTCAATAAAACTTGTTTATAATAAAATAAAAATCACCTTAGGTCCTCGCTCACCCTGAGGGCCATGGGGGCCCGGCTTTCCAGGGAGTCCCGGATCCCCCTAAAACATCAAAATGAACAAAGGAAAAAAAAATCCTGGATGTTTGACTCAAAGAGAACATCAAAAATCCAATTTTAGCTCAGCATTGGGTAACTGATTGAATTATAGACATTTTCGTGCCTGCTAAAGTCAAATAGTAGAAGCGGCCATCTTATATTGAATTCACTCCAGTTAATCAGATGATCCAGTGAGCTTCGTTAAAATGTAACTGGTTCATAAGAAGCTTTTACTTTAAACACAGGTGATTACATGATTGCCTGCCTTCATACAAGCAAAACGTGCAGCGGTCAAAATGTTGAGAATTTTAAGTATTGGAGATTAAACTAATACACAAATGAGCAACAAGCTGCTTGTTTTTACATGGAAATAAACACCAATAGTGTCTACTTTATCACTGCATTATAAGTATCTACACCTAATATTATATCCTAAAAAAAATTAGGTATACAAATGCTTATTGTGCTTACAAGGTAGTAACTTCGTCTGAAATGTTTAATATAACAACTCTAGATGAAATATATAGGTGGCAGATTTGGCTCACTACTTGGCAATAAACTGGTCAGTTTTGTCTCTCTGTCACCCGTAATTAATACATAATAAACAGTTATTAATGATTTATAAAGTGTTTATAGAGGAATTAATGTCATATCTTTAAACTACTTATTAGCCATCTATAAGGGGATTCTTATTGTAAAGTGGTATCAATATTTTACAAGAGTTCCCACAGCAGAGTTCAGGTTACATGTGGTGTATAGATCTATGACTCATTTAATTCACATTTCTTTAATTTTGTCAACTAAAATAAGGTTAAATTCAGTAAACTGAAGGTGCTGCCCTCAATTCATCCAACAGGTGTGATAATAACACTGAACTGTGTGTGTGTGAGACACCATTTTTCTTTAGATTTTGTATCTCATTCTGATTTTGTATTTCTATCATATGTGTTTGTTACTTTTTCTGCTTCAGTTCTTCACATAAAAAATCCCACCATCCTGACAATTTTGAATTATTTTTATTTTTTCTGTGAAGAACCAGATACAAGATGAGTTCTTGAGTCATTCAGTTTGAAAGTTTGAGCAGCCAAAACACGAACAAATGATCTGTTTTGACGTAAATTTCAGAAGTTATTAATTTAACACGTTGTTCTCTGGTCTCAGTGTGACCTGCTTTCCTGTGCAGGTCTGCATTGACCAAATCTTCTCTTCTAAAACTGTATTTATTGTTCTGCTTGCCCACATTGTTCAGAAGATTGATTTGTTTTTGTTTTGAAATTATTTTTGTGTTTTTCTTTTCACATTTAAATTTTCCTCTTAGTCTTTACGAAGGTGTAATTCACACCTTTTCTCCTTGGTGACCTGGGGGTCCAGACTTGCCAAACTCTCCTGGGTACCCATCTGGCCCCTTAAAAAGAAAAAAAGAGAAATTGGTTTAGCAGAAAAGTTTGAAATTTGACATAATATATTTGTTATAATTGATTTAACATAACCTTCTCAGTGTGATTCATACTTTATACTATAGTATCCGGCTCGAAGGACCAATGTTAAAGATGCAATAGAATAGTGGTTTGGTTTAGGATGGGAACACTACAGATAGATTCCGGCCAGAAATCCTTTTATCAGCTTTAATGTTGAACAACAGGGTCATCAAATCCACTGGTGATGTTTTTCAATATAGAAACAAGTACTGGGATTATGAACATGATTTAAAATAAATGTATTTAAAAAAATTAAAAAAATATTTAACTTACTTTATCGCCTGGATTCCCTTTGCAACCAGGAGCTCCAATTCGGCCTATTTTACCCTGAAAATGGCCAAAATTAATTAATTTGTGTGACATTAGAACATAAAAGCTTTCACTGTGATGTCAAACATCCTGATATTCACCTTTTGTCCATCGGTTCCATTCCTGCCAGGCGCTCCGGCGACACCCTGACAGTTTGAACACATGTGAACATTTTACATGACAGTGCTGAACATGAATACAACATAAAAACATGTATGCACACAAAACAACACGCCGTTTCTACCGTTGCTCCAATGAATCCACGTTCCCCCTGTCAAAATAAATCAAACCCCTTAAACTCCGTTCAGTTCAGTTGGACAGAAAAAAGAACACGAGAAAGATTTAGCTCTCACCTTGTCACCCTTAAATCCAATTTCTCCCTGAGCAGAATGAGAGAAATTATTTAATTAAAGATTTAAAAACAAAAAAATATTGCATAACCACAGTATATAGCAGTGGCTCCCAAAGTTCAGGATGAGTCGTAAAAACAAGAAGTGAGATCTACAGAATTACATTTTAAAATAATTACTAGTTATATATTATTCAATAACTTTCACAAAGAAATAAAAACTGTGGTTATAAAAAGTTAAAAAACGTAATAATTGACGATGCTCTTTGTTAAATGGCCTATTACTAAATACTGGCTTGCAGCAGTCTCCTCAACTTTTAGTTTGTTGCTCAAAAAGCCAAAAAGTTTGGGAACCACTGTTTAAATCACCAAAATTCAGCGACTATTTGGCCTCAGCAAACCTTTAATCCGGGTCGTCCAATGGGACCTTCGATCCCAGGATCACCCTGAAATATTAAACATCATATTCAGCAGCAACTTGCAGTAAAATGTACACCTTTCAAATCATATTTCAGTCAATTAGGTTTTAAAGTTCCACATACCTGTTTACCTTTTTCTCCTTTTTGCCCAGTCTTACCTCTTTCTCCTTTTGTGCCCTGAAAAAAACACAAAACTGTTTACATTTCAACACATCGAGTGAGCAAAAGTGAACATGTCAGACTCACAAGAGTTTGAACTAAGACTCACTTTTGGACCTGAAGACCCCCTTCGCCCTGGGATCCCAGGAACAGCCAAACATGTAGGCTTATAACACTATAAAATAAAGCAACATATAAACATTAACAATCATTCTTCATGAATTAAGACACACTGACGCTATTTCTCAGTACGTTCTTTTTCTAAATAATAGTTTAGTTAAAGATTATCTGGCGAATGTTCAGAACTAAATGTGTTACTACCTCCATTAAAGTGTTGAATAATGTGTATTTAATCTGTGCTGATGGATGACAGTAAACTGAAATAACCACTGTAGGGCATTATTGCTAAGATAAGGCAGCTGTTCAGTAAATTTCAAAATGCACTAATTCAATTTGCAATGTCTTTTTATTGTTATGGAATATTTTAGGGATGCATGATATTATCAGCATTGTATCGGCCGATATTAGCGTTAAAGTTCAATATCGAACATTGGCCATTCCATCAAAATAACTCACCGACATAAAAGGCGCTGTTTTTATATGACAACCCAGTGACAAGGATGCCTGCAGCATCAGCACAATGTGATGACGTCACGCGCACCTACCTGATCTCACGACAGAGGAAAATTCAAGATGTCGGTGGTGTGGAAGTTTTTTTGTTCGTTGGTGAGGATGTTGGATTCCAAAGATTTTTGCACTATATCGAGCCTCGCTGCATCGTCCCCAGATGGATATATTTTTCTGACATAACCTTATCCGAGTTACAAGCCGCCATTTTCTACGTCATTGAGAAGCTAATAGTCGATAGCACTTGGGTGAGTTTTACCACAGACATTTGGACGTCAAGTGTTAGCCCCGTTAGCGTGATTAGTCTTACGGCACAATGGATAGACAAAAACTTTGAACTTAAAAAGGCTGTCCTTCATGCACAGGAGTGCAGAGGATCCCACACTGCAGCTAGGAACCTGGAACAAGCCTCCACAAGTGAGATATTATTGCAGGTGACTAATGCTAATAAATACCATTTGAACACTTTTCATTTAATATAAGTTAAAGTGCTATGCATATGGCTATTACTGAAAATATGTCACCAGCTCTTACAGTTGTTAAACATTTTTTGTAGCAAATAAGCCTAAATAAGAGGACTATGTTCTGACAAATGAAAGTATATAAAATATCGGTATCGGTTATCGGCCAAATAAGTTTTAACATATCGGCATATCGTATATCGGCCAAAAATCCAATATCGTGCATCCCTAGAATATTTTTCAAGTTTTTTTCCTAAAAACACATTGGTACAGAAAACGTTCTTGAACAAGGTCAGTTTTCTTCCTGTTTGTTGGTGGAAGTAGGCTTCTGTAAAATGGATGCAGTGTTTCTTTTTGTGGCTGAAATTATTTTTTTAATAGGAAAATGCTTCTTGTTGCATAGAACTGACTCAAGACCTACTAGTTTCTTGCAGTGACCTAAACGTCTGAAAACAGAATAAAAATGGACTCACGACTTGCTGCTTTTGTTTCTTACCTGTAAGTAGGCTTGATATTTCTGCAAATCAAAAGCCACAGTTGTAGATTAGTGGGGCGACAACTTAAAATCAGATCTGATTTGTTATTTTAATCTTTAGAGGAATAAAGATCACCATGACTTTGATGATCCTATCAATGGATTTGGTGCTCAGTTGTGGTTTCCCATCAACGACCTCCATGACGATGTAGTCATCACGATACATCTCTGTGGGGGAGCTGGCGATCTCGCTCATCCCCAGCTCATCGATGCTCCTGGACGCTGCCACTGAGAAGATCTGAATGCCCTGATCTCGAGCTTTGTCCGCCATAATTTTGATCCCAGCACACGGGTTTCCGGTCACATGGCCGTCCGTGATGACCACGGAGAAGAGGACGGCCTTTGGCCCTGAATAGTAGTGCTGAGTCATCTGGTGGGTCATGTTTTTGAGGGCACAGTCGATGTAGGTGCCTTTGCCCAGGTACCTGATCCGACTGAGACTCCGGATTAAGCTCTCTCTGGTCGTGAACTGGCTGAAAACCATCTGTGTTTGGGAGAAGTGCAAGCCTCCGATGGACCAAGTGATCTGGATTTGGCCCCTGTATTCCTCGTCCGCGAGCTTTTGGGTGAAGATTTTTGTGAACTCCTTGATGCTTTCCACCAGGCTGCCAGGCGGGGACTCCTGCAGAGCGATGGTCTCTGAGGTGTCGATGGTGAAGAACACCTTGATGGGACAGTTGATGAGTTCTGACCGAGAAGAGAACGATGTTCGGCGTCAGAAAGAAGAACTCCAACAATAAATGAGTTGACAGATCAGTAAATATCTTTAGTGCTGCTTGTCTCTTTGACAAGCTTTTACCTGTATAGTACTACCAAGTGGAGTTTAATTAGATTAGATGGAATATTTAAAAAACGACTTTACCGTCATGTTTGTTCTTGCAATAACTACACCAGCTGAGGTAAAAATCATGCTTTAAAGAGAAGCACATGAGCTTCTCTTTTTTAGTGTAAGAACTGGCAATAAAAAAAAAACCCTGAAGAAATACCTGTACTGTGCAATTGAAAGAGGAGCTCAGTAACTTCTTACAAACATCAGAACAAATGGTGACAGGTTTCAACAAAGACTTGCAATAAAAAAAATACAAATATTAAACCATTGAACTGCCTGTGAGACTAATTTATTTTTTAAATAGAACAAACAGATACAATGCAATGTCATTATGTCTACATTTGTTCTAACTGTTTGAATTTAATTTTAACAATTACAAACCTGGAAACATTACATTAAGAAAACACATTGCATCCCTGCTACATAGAGATTAAAGGACAGGTCCAGAAAAAGTATGTTTTGTTGCTCCAACTGTACTTCAATGCGATATAAAGGTGGAACTTTTAACAATGTGTGAATATCTTTGTCTGAATATTTAGAGAAAATTATAAAAGTTTATTTAGAAAAAACATAAATTGTGCATGTTTATTTCAGTCGATGCACCTTTGTGTCATGTGGCAGTGAGCAAATGAACCAAAACCACAGGCTTGAAAAAAATAAATGAACAAAAACAAAAGGTTTTAACAAACGAACAGAATAAGTGCAGCGAACTGGTTACAAAAGAGGACGAACCAGCAGGTACCAAGAGCGTCTGTGTGACCTGCGAGCATTGATTACTGATCTGATACACCTGGGCTGATGAGCAGATGGAGTGCAGGTGTGAGAGGAGAGCTGAGAGCAGGAATGGCTGACAGTAAATGACACAGGGAGAGAACTAATAAAAGATTTGCTGCACACAAAAACGAAATAATGTGATCAAATTAAACACGAAACGAAACATTCAAAACTACAACCACAAAATTTTGCTTTAAGTACTTGAAGGACAATTTCTGTGCATGGCTTGGTACTTTTATGAAGCGTGCACATTCACATAAACTAATCCAGTTTACTGCAGTTTATTTTTATAGCATCAGCTCAAAACAACCGTCCTCTCAGGGCGCTACACAACAAAAGCTAACAGGTCTAAACCAGTTACAGTCCAATTACAACTCAATCCAGTACACGTTCATATTCACTTGTGTACAGCCCATTCTCAGACTGCAGGTTTACTTGTGGTTCCTAAAGTAGAATGGAGCAGAGCTTTCAGTTGTCAGGCTCCTCGCTTGTGGAACTAGTTAGTTTCTCTCTGTGAGGCTGACGTCCTGTCTCGTTTTAAGACCAGGCTTAAGACTATTTCTTTTATCAATCAACGCTAGAGTTGGCTTGGGTTTCCTGAGCTATCCTTTGGTTATGCTGCTATAGGTTCAGACATACAGATATATATATTTACTTTGCTGCTGTCTACTCTGTCTCAATGTTTGCATTTGCAAATATTGCTGCCATCATCAACCTGCTTTTTAAAAAAATTACACCTGGATCAATTCTTCTGTAATTATCTCTTTCCTGTCCTCTCAAATTCCAGACTGTCAAGGCTGCAGCCGATCCTGGTTCTGGTTCTGCAGGAGATTTATTCCTGTTCAAAGGGAGTCATTCCTTTCCACTGTCGCCAATAAGCTGCTCAGGATAGAGATTGGCAACAAAGTGAAGATTCAGCGTAACCTGCTGGCTTCTTTAAATAAACGACTTTCGTTAACTGTCATTTCATATTGTACTTGTATGTGAATGTTTTGTGGTATAATTGTACTCAATTGACAGTAAATGGATCAGAATCCGTCCTAAATGGACTTATTTTTGTTGTGTGGTGCCCGGAGAAGGCGTTTGTTGTGCACTCGTGCTAAATACCATGTTTTTTGGACTATAAGGCACATTAAGTGAAACAAGTTCATTTTGACAGATTTTTGAGCACTGTGTATTATATAAAACTGGTTTGAGATCAGTAAACACAACCATAATTAATACATAAGGCGCACTGGATTATAAAGCTCACTGTCAATTTTTGAGAAAATTAAAGGATTTTGTGCCTTATAGTCTGAAAAATATGGTAAATGAACCAAATTGAATTTCATTTTAATTATAATCTATTCCAATCAGATTCAGTAAATTATCAAAAGCCAATCAGTACAAAGTTCCAATCCACACCCTGAGCATTTAAAAAAATAACATCAGTACATGAGGAATAACAACCAAAGTACAGAAATATGCCACTTTTTATGTTGTGCACAAAACTCCTGCTTAAAATACAATTGTCTACCTGAGTAATACTGAGTAAACACTTCTAAGTATCTTTACCTCATTTCTGTATTTTGATTGCATTTAGTGTTACTTCATCTTTATTTGTACTTTCAGTCCAACAGTATTTCCACCTGAATACTTCATTAGTACATGGTAAATATATAAAATAATTAAATTTTACTCCAAAATGTCATGAACTTTTTAAATTTTTTTAAATGATTATTACGTTTTACTGTGAACTCACTCTCACAACCTTTAGGTCTTGGTGTGGGCTCTGGTGGGAATGGAGGTGGAGTTGGTTCTGGACTGTCCCCCCGCCCTGGTACCGGTCTGGGTCCACGAGGCCCAAATCCCTGAGCTGCTGCAGCTCGGAGCAGGGACAGAAAGATGAACCCTGATAACACAGTCGTGGTTGGATGGATACCAATCATTTTCCCTGGAAGCAGAAAAGAGTTTTGTAGTTTTACTTTTTTTGTGTTCTATTTTGGAAGGAACCAGCTGTCAGACATGAGTCTTCACAGAAGGCGTCTCCGCACCACTGAGGAATGTTTATCTCTGCTTCAAACTTTGTCAGACTAACCCCAAGAGGATTATTTACATGTTCTTTTTTGTTGCCTACAGCTTTTTTATTTAATAAAACTGAAATCCACTGCAGGAATTCCTAAACTACATGACACTTGGTTTGATAAACTCTTTTCAGACAAACTGTGTGGTCATAAATTTCTGGCAGCAAAACCAAGAGGAACATCTTTACTGACAGCAAACCAGATCATGTTAACCAGTATGAAGAAACTGGACTCTTCTTATATTGTTTTTTGCTATTTTCACCCATTGCAGAGAGGTGAAAGTGGCTGATGTTTTTTGCCTGTGTGTGTTAGTGTGTTCGTCTGTTAGCAAAATATCTCATGAGCCCCTTGATGGGGTTCTATAAAACTTTCAGGTTATAATTATTAAATGTACCTTTACAGCTGATTGACTTTTGGAGTTAACCCCATTCAAGATGGCTGTCACAGCCAACTGAGCTTATAAAACACAAACATAGCTTTCATTCAGTCATTTTTACAGATACTTGGCTAGTATTTAATGTGGAAGTAGCTGAGAGTAATCCACGCACACACACCAAGTGCTACTCATTGTGCAAGAATTTTGCTTAAAACTTTAGTGTTTATTCTTAAAGTCAACCCTGTTTGCTTGTTAGCAAAATAACTCATGAACCACTGGATAGTTTTTAATGAAACTTTGAGGAAATAATGATACAATTTAGAGTTAATCCAATTCAAGATGGCTGGCACACCTAATCAACATCATCCAACACATAAAAGGGTATATCTTTGTGAATTTTACAGATATTGAGCTAAGTTTTGATGTGGTGGTAGATGATAGTCATCCACAACACATACTTTGAGCACTAACAGATCTTGCAAGATTCCCTACTCACTCATTTCTTAACATAGATGATCTTGGTCTAAAATTCTGGCATGAAAGGTGGCGGGTGATGTGCATTTGGCCTTTGTCAGTATGTTGTTACAAAGATAGATGTTCATTCTACTTACAGTCAAAGCTTTGGGTAAACGTGTAAAAATCATTTCCTTTTTTTTCTCCTCTCGTATTGAGGTGAAGTCCAATGGTTGAAAACTTTATTAATTCAGTTCACCTCAAATTTAAACAACATTCAGTTATGTACTTCAAACGTAAGCATGAATATTGACTAAATGAATGAATGAATTATGACTAAATTTACCACACCATGAGCAAATATTAAACAACCTGATAAAAATATTTTTGAATAAGAATCAACCAACATCTTAGTGTTAAGAAAAAAGTAAAATAATGAAATTACACAATGATAATAAAGTTTGGGGGCGGCACGGTGGCGCAGTCAGTAGAGCTGCCACCTCAGCGAGATGGTAGCTGGGTCAAATCCCAGCTGGGGGGCCTTTCTGGGTGGAGTTTGCATGTTCTCTCTGTGCATGCGTGGCTTTTCTCCAAATACTCTGGTTTCCTCCCACAGACCAAAAACATGCATGTTAGATTAATTGGTAACTGATAAATAGTCTCTTGGTGAGAGAGAGAGAGTGAATGGTTGTTTGTCTCTATGTGTCTCTGTGATGGACTGGAGACTTGTCCAGGGTGTCCCCACGCATCTCGCACAGCGACTGCTGGATATGAGCACCAGTGACTCCCATGACAAGGAAGAAGCGAGTAAAGATAATGGAAGATAGGCAGGAGAATAAGACAAACTTCCTTTTGGAGAGAATCTTGTTTCACACGAAGACAACCGAGCCGAGCCAGAATGTGAAACATGCAGAGCTCCTGAGTTACAGAGCGAAACGATCGACCTGTAAACAAACGCGGGTCCTTCTGTGTAAATGTGCAGCCGAAGTCCTCCATTCTATCTTGGGAGAATAAAGCACAATGAAAACAGTGGAAAACCCAAACCCAGGAAACAATCTAGTGTTTCAAAGAGACTAAATGTAATCAAGAACCATTTGGTTCAAAAGTACTGTGCAAAGTCTTCAGTTATCACAGGGGTCTGCAACCTTTATGATCAAAACAGCCATTTTTACACCTTTGTTCATTAAATTAAAAAGGTTTAGAGCCGCAACCACATGCTGTGTAGTCAACTGGTGGCCCATGGGCCACTTTAGGTTTGTTGGAGGAGACTTTTGTGGCCAGTAGGGATGACATTATACAGCTAAAACTATCTAATGATTTTTAACATTTGTTGATATTGTTACAATTTAAGACATGAAAAGACCAAAATCTTGAAAAAAGGCGGGGTGGGGAACTAGTTATGTAAATAAAAATAATAAAAAAAGAACTATGCAGACCTAAATAATTTTTTTTTAATGGCGGAAAATATAATTAAGCATAGAAATAAAGCAAAAAGTTCATATTTGCAAAAGAAATTACAGGAAAACAGCTAAAACTAGTACTTTTTTTGTTGTTGTTTGTATAACAACCAATAAACTTAAGGTTTATGTTAGTTTTGGTCAAAGCTTGAAAGAGCTGCTGCAGAGGGACCAAAGAGTCGCATGTGGCTCCAGAGCCACAGATTGGAGACCCCTGAGTTATCACATAGTGCCTGAGTTTCTTGTAATCCTTTGAAATAGTCAGTTTTCCTAAAAGTCTTTCAAAGTTCTTTTCTGGACTTTGGCTGCTTTTACACTCCTCTGTAATTCAGTACCCGACTGTTTTCAGATTAATGTTTCCTGTGTTTGTTTAGGCCTCTTAACTTTGAGCTAGGAGACTTTTGGGTGTTTTAAGGTTCCCAAACAAAACAAATGGACCAGTTTTGTGTCGATATGTTCCCAGCAGACTTTTCCAAAGACACAGTTTGTTTCCTTTAAAAAAAATAATGTAATAAACACAACAGTTTGACTTCAAATAGTATTTTGGCACCATTAAGTGATTCTCAGAGAGCAAATGGCTAATAAAAACAGCATAATGATGCATTATTCAATATTTAATTGAATAATTGTGTTTACAATTATAAACCCATAAATGGGACACTGCAAAAACCTGAGAAGTTAAATTTGACTTCACGTTTGTCAGGATTTATACAACTCTTTCCTTTCAGTTGCAGCCAAAAAAGACAAAAGCGGCTAAAAATAACAAAACACTTTGGCCTGATCCACCTCAGCTGTGAATTTTTCTCCACTAACCCAAAAACAAACACACAAAAAAAGTTTTATTCATGTTTTCATAAGACCTTTAAAACCTTCAAAGCCAAATGCAGATAAAAAAAAAAAAAGATGTTTAAAGCACTTTTTTAAAAATGATCAGATCAGATCACAATAAAAGTTCTACTTTAAACACAAGAATATAATAAAATGTGAGTTACTCACCGGGTTAGCAGCACAAAGAATGCAAATAGTGTCAGGAAATTCAAGTAATTTTCAAAGCCTGCAACCTTCAGATAGTCATCTCAGTTGGAAAGTTTTCTCATCAGTGGTCCCACCCGGGGCTCAGCCCAGATTCGGATGTTTAGATGAGGGACTTGTTGTATGGGACAACAGCTGGACACAAACAGCAGCTCCCTCTTTAAGACGGAGACACAATTCTGGAGACTTGACGAGGGTTTGAGTAAATACAGGAAGGAGCTATTTATCCACGTTAATTGACAGAATGAATGTCTGAGCCTCAGCCCGATGTTCTCCGAAGAGCGAACGCCGCATCCACTCGCTCGGCTGCGTACCCTTAGATGGAGAGAGCTGCTGACACTCACTCCCTGTTTACATTTCTGGGTGATGCAGCACGGGAGATGTCATGCAGGAATGTAACTGCTGCTGCAGCGAGCAGAATAAAAAAACAGTTAGATTAACCGCTCAGCAGAGGAAAACACATTAATTAAATTTGTCAATTTGTCAGAATTTCCTCTCTTTACCATGGACAAAATGAATCATCCCAATACATAGATCAGAAATAACTAAATAAAGGCCTTCTTGAGTTGTGGTCCAACCTGGAAAATATTTTGCGCCATCTTGTGCTCAAAGATGACTCTCAGCTATCACATCAAATTTTGCCTCAATGTCCATAATACTGGTTGAATTCAAGTTATTTTGTGTTGTTTGCCTGTAGTTTATTCTAATCTGCTCAGTGGTTCAAGAGATATTTTGCTAACACACACAGAAACAGCTAATATTTAGTCAACCTTAGCTGGATGTTATAGAAAGCTTAAATAAATCATCTCTCTGCTGTTCTGGTTATACCATATTTTTTACCATATAAGTCACACCTTTTTGCATAAATTTGTAAGTCCTGCGACTTACACACCGAAGCGACTAATATATGTTTTTTTTCCCCCATATTTATGACCCAATTTTTGTCTGAGATCTGACGATTTCATTCATTCTGACATGAAAAATATTTAGCATTACCATTTGCAGCTGCTAGAGGACCCTTGAGCTGTATGGCAAGCCAAGTGTCTCATTAATAGGTAAAAGTGGCTATTAATGAGACACTTGGCTTGCCATACAGCCACCTTCGTCTAAATCTGGAACACCTGGAGCAAACGTCAAATCAGCTGCATTTCACCGCGCTGCCCAGGCGAAATGCAGCTGATTTGACCATTAAAGTGCATTTATTAAGAAAAAGTTCAACTCACCTAATGTCGAGCAAACAAATAAATGTTTTTAGGTTGTTATCTTGTTAAATTTCGAAGAAATGCACAACGAGTCCTGCCATTCTGGCATCCAATCCTTTTTTGGCACAACACCGGCCCACATTTCCATGTGGTCAGCGGTGATGCATAATAGATGTGTCTTATACGACAAATTGACTTATTTATGTTTGCTTCCACTTTATTAGACATTTTTGGACTGATGTGACTTATATGGCGGAAAATACAGTAAGTTGTCTCTCAGATGACAAATGTACTTACATTAACGAGCTGCGTCTCTTCAGATGAACCCCAGCATCTCAGCGTGAA